CACATTTCCTTTCCATCTACCCCCTTCTCTTTCATTCCTTTGACCTTTCTTGACCGCAGCTGTTCTACTTACATGGGCATCGGTGCCTTCTGTTTACAAATTTGGGGGGGGGGTGTCGATACTCCCAAATGAAAGTAACCCTCTCCCCCCCCCCAAAAAAAAAAGAATTTGTGGACGCGACGGACTTTTAACGAGTTTATAAAACGGGCCTGAGGAATCCTGCCGATCTCCTCCTCTCCAAGCGAGCCGATCGTCCGTCGGGTCGGTGCCTGGCGAGGGCTCTCCCCCGCCCGACAGACACACTTCTGCGCCACGCCACGCCTCCCCTCGTTTTAGCAAAGGGGCCAGCGGGGCAGGTGAAACCCCTTTATCTGATTTCCTAACCGCCCAAAAATCCCTTTGATGCCCCTTGTCCCGGGGAGTTCAAAGCGGGGGAAGAAAACGAAACTCTATTTGACGCGGCAGCAGGTGCGCCCGACGGCAGCCCTCCATTCATCATTGCTGCCGCCGCTGCTGCTGCGGCCGTGCTGGGGTGGGGTGGGGGGCGCAAGCCGGCGCGCTGCCTGGCCGCCCGAAGGAGGCGCAGAGACACAGAGGCACCCACCACGCAGCTGAGCCTGGAAGATCTCTTCCACGCTGGGGAAGGAAACTCGGCGCAATTCCTTGTCCGTGTGTTTGTTCCAGTTTGTTTCAGATCAGTGCCATCGTTTGATTGCCCCCCCTCGTTGTATCGGCGCGGAGCATCCCTTGTCGCTACTTCAGGGTATGGCCGCTGCTGGTAGTCCTTTGATGGACAGATTAATGGATTAATCGGAGAGGAGGAGGAAGTAACTGAAGCTGAGGACTGGTGGCTTGTCCAAAGACGTTTTGGGGAAATGTCAGAGCCCAGCGCTTCCCAGAAGAACAACACAGCACCTGCAAAGCTAGGAAAACCTGACTGACCCCCACCGCCCCCTCCCCGCAGGCGCCTATTTGAGTCTGAGAGCAGTGCTTGTAGGTCGGAGGACGTGACCCCCCCCCCGGCAGCCCTCGCCAACCAAGAACGTTATTTGGGGACACCAAGAGAGGGCGGCTGGCAGGAAGGTCTAAAGTGATCGATGACAGAGAAAGCTCTTTGCGATGCCCTGTGTTAGAAGGAGCCGGAAGATCTGGCCCTTGATGTCTCTTCAGTCCGTCCTAGAGAGCAGGGCATCATCTTCTCTGATACCCAAAAGGTGTCACCAGACTTCGCTCTGCTTCACACAGTCGAGTCTCCCTCCATCTTCCTTGTTATTTCAATGAAGAAAATGTGTTTTTGTTTTGTTTTGTTTTGGCTGCTTATGTCCTCTATCCAAGTAGGCACTCCTATGTTCACTTCACAAAACTTGGAGTTGCAGAATAGTTCTAAAACTACAGCAATTGTATACATTTTTGTCTGAAGATGGTGGCCATCCCATACATACAGTGATTTGAGGGCAACTGCAGGGCAAAGCAAAGTGCCTCTGGTTACCTATGGAGTGGAAAAACACCCCCCCCGCGCGCACGCATGGCTCCTTCACCTTCTGTCCAGCATTTGTGACGTTCAAATATTCTAAAGCAAAAATGCACAGCAATTTGAGTTGAAGAACTAGAAACAGAGAAGACTGCGCTGCTGGTGTTCAAAGGCAAGTGACAGCTGACCCCCCCCCATAAAACTCATGATCTCTGCTGGACACTCCAACCACGCAGGCACTGGAAAGGTTCAGAAAGAGGTCATCTCCTGCTATGTAACTTTTTGCAGCCCTACCATCCGTTCTACATGTGTGTAGCATGAAGTAAAAGATTCACATTGTCACCGGTAGCAAGAATTCATGTTCTTTTTTCATTCCCATCTGCCTTAGTCAGTCTAATAACCCCATGCCTTCAACTTCATCTTATGACAACTCTTTTTAGGGTGTTCTAGGCAGAGAGTACTCAGACGTGTTTTACTATTCCTTTCTTCTGGGGGTGCCCTGGGACTGTGCAGCTTGCCCAAGGCTACATAGACTGGTTATTCTGGGATGCACTGTGGGGAATTGAATTCCCGACCTTTGGCTCCACAGACACCTTATTCA